CCTTCCCAATGCTGCCATATTGGAGGCTCTTTCAGGGTCAGGGGAATGAGGCCCATTATTGTTACTACTTTGGGCATATTGAATACGCCACGGGTAGCTTGCCAGGCTCTACTGTGTGGACGGGATATTCTCAGTAGCTTGCCAGGCTCTCCGAGTGGGATGGAGAGGGACGTTGCTCTCTTCCAGGAGCTTCGTTTTATAGTCTTAGATCTTGGCCATTGATGAGGTTACATGGTACCGGAGGCAGTTTGTGGGTGTGACTGCTGAGCTACTGGAAAACTGGGGAGTCTGGGTGGAGGAGGCCCAGCCTCGATCTGAGCAGGCTTGGTGATCTCAGCCACAGGTCCTGCATACCTGAGTTCTTCTGCCAGTTCTTTGGGAGAAGGCTCATCCAAGCATGTGGAGAGTGGCCTTGAGCATGGCTGTGGCTGGGTTCTGGAGGTTTTCGGCTGCCAGGATTCTGCTTGGGGAGGGGAGGGACACTCAATCCACCCCCTTCTGAGGGGCCCTGGTGAAGATAGCCTAGCGCGGGGGCAGGAAATTCTGGTTCATATGGAGCCTTCAAACTGGTTGGCAAGAATTGCCAGGATTGGCTCACAGGCCCCATGTGCACTGTTTTAAAATAAAGTGCTATGGAGTAAAAGAGATAATAACATGAATAAGATGCTTGTCTTTCACGCAGCCAACTCCAGTTCAATCCCCAGTACCACCAGAAGCAATCCCCAACCCCCAGCCAGTAATAACCCCTAACCCCTGAGAACTGCTGAGTATGGTCTAACAACCCCCTATGCCTCAAATATGCTGTTATAAGCTGGAGATTTGGCTCAAAGGGCTAATGATTATTTTGCATTCTTGTTTTTTTTTGGTTTGTTTTTGTCTTTGGGCCACACCCAACAGCGCTCAGGAGTTACTTCTGGCTCTGCACTAAGGAATCGCTCCTGGCACTGCTCAGGGATCATATGGGATGTGGAGGATCGAACCATGGTCTGCCGCATATAAGGCAAGCACCTTATCCGCTATGCTATTGCTCTTGTCACTGTTTTGCATTCTTGTCCACTGGGCTTGAGCCTCACTCAGTACCACATGGTTCCCCAACCACTGCAAAAAGCAGTCCTGAGATGAGGTAATTTATAAATACTACCAAGTGTGACACTAACGAGCAGACGCCATTGGGCTACACTAGCACGCGACAGGGACAAATGGAGACGTTACCGGTGCCTGCTCGAGCAAATCGATGAGTGACGGGATGTCAAGTGATCAAGTGATCAAGTGACCAGGTGTGACACACCCCCCCAAAATAAAACAAAACAAAACAAAAACATGCTGTTTGAGACTGAACCTATGCCAGCGTGTTTGCCTTTTAATCTAGAATTTCTTGGGAAAGACTGATATAGCTCAACAGATTGAGCACAAGCTTTGCATGAAGGAGGCCTGGTTTGATCCCCAGTGACATGTGGTCCCTCAAGTACCTCAGGAAAGACCTTGAACACAGACCTGGGGAGACCCCTAAGCGCCTCCAGACATGACCCTAAAACCAAAAAATAAAATAAAATAAATAAATGAGCTTTCTTGGGCTTGAGTATGTAGTCCACAGTGCTTGAGGGACTACCTCTAGGGTTTCTTTAACCCACCTACTGCCAAATACTCTCTGTGTATAGATATGTATCTATATATTATATATTACATATATATTTCAATGCTGGGTATCAAACCCATGTTTCATGCACATAAACCATTACTTTGCCACTTACCTGCATCCTTGGCCCTACCCAAAATGCTTTATGAGCAGTAGAGAATTCTGGGGTGGACTATAAGCCCATTTCTAGACATAAACATTATTCAAGACATAAATATATTTTTGCTGATGTTTTGTTTTTATTTTTGGGCCACACATGGTGACACTTAGGGACCACTCCTGGCGGGACTTGGGGAAACTATATGTGGTGCAGGGGATGGAACCCAGACTGGCCATGCGCAAGGCAAACGTCCTACCTGCTATACCTCTCAGACCCCAATATATACAAATACCTGTGTGAGAGACTTTTGTTCTTTGTCTTTCAGAATAGATGGAACCACTTCCTGTCTGGCCTTCCAGAAGGGGAAGAAGAGGTTAGGACTAATGCCTTGGCATGACCACAAATATCTTTCCCGACTCCCTGTCACTTTTTATCTCCCTACTACCCTGCAAAGCTTCCCACTAGAGGATTTTATGTAGGCTGTTGTTGCTTTGTCGTTATTGTTTTTAGAACCACTTTTAGTCATATACTTCAATTTTCCAAATTTCCCTTGAACTTAATCTCTCCAATTAAAATTTCAAGTTACAGATGATCTCTCAGGAACAACTCTCAGTATAATTTAGAGTTCAGAAGATCATTGTGGAGAAAAACAAGATGGCTTTAAGTACTTAAAAAAACATGTTTCCATTCTTTTTTTGGTTGGATGGTAGAATTACGATGAATGGAAATGGTACCATATTTTTTTCACTACTCCTCATTTGTTTTGGACCACAGGCTTCATTCTGATTTAGGAGTCTTTCCTGCTCAGCGTTTCAGTGATAATTCTCCCCATGGTCTACAGGATCCCTGTTCTCTTTGTTTCTATAGCAACAGCCCCGTGTTGCTTGGCTAGAAGCAATTTTCTGCTGCTGTGGTGAAGCTCCATTTTTTCATTCCTTTCTCCCCAGTTGCCTTGGTAACCAGCCTTTCCTTTTTTTTGGTCTCTCAGTGGTAAATTCCACGCCCTCTCCTCTCTTTCTCTCTGTAGTAACAGTCACCTGGTCATGCCTTGGACAGTGCTCTCCCATCTGTGAGTGTGCATACTCTGTCATGCTCAGATTGTCATTGTGAAATTAGCCTCCCTTTAGCTTTATTTGCATCATTTCTCTGGCCTGCCATCTTTCTGGGGGTTGTCATGGTAACCGTACCCTCTGATAGTCTCCAGGCAAAGGCTCTACAGTTAACAACCATCATGTGAGTGTGTCTGCCAATATGTGGCCACACATCTCGATTTAAAACCCAGCCCCAGGCGGGTACCACAAATTGGAGCGAACAAGGCTTTTGATCAAAGCAGGCCGAATTGAGAAAAGGAAGTACTGGGGGGGGTGGGGGTGCAGATCTGGGATCTGGTGTTCTCTAAACAATACTAGTCGCTCTAAGATTTAAGCTGAATCTACAAGAGTGGTCGTTATACCGATGGTGATCCAAATGATTGAGAAATGTTTTGGCAGCTGTTCCAGGGAGGCCTAGCATATATACGTTTTCAAGGGCCAGGTGTGACTCCTCTGCCCTAGGGATCCTAATGGTATGTCCTGAGAGTTAGGCAGAGTCAAATAATCTCAGGAGAAAGCAATTAGAACTGTTAGGTTGGCTAACAAGGGGTTAGTGGAGGAGGTATTTAGGCATTTGTACACTTTACTGGAAATGTCTCTGCCCTTGTGCTGCTGCTCTTACCTCCTTAGTAAGGCAGATGGGGTATTATTATAATAATACAAAGTGTTCAACCAATGTGCTAGGGCATTGCAGCGGGTACTTTTCAGACATTACTTCATTTTCTCTGCTACGGTGATCCTGAGAGGTAGTTAAAGAAAGGAGAATCAAGACTAAGAGCTAACGTTGTGTGGGGTCAATGCAGCTGATAGTGGGAGAATTGAGATTTGAACCCAGGTCCATCTAATTCCCTGTCCTCTACTTTAAGTTTTTCTTTTGATAGTGCTAGGGAAGGAATCCAGACCTCATGCAAGTGAGGAACACACTTTGTTTTTGAGTCACATTTTCTGGTCCCCAAATTTCTGTAGTCTGGTTTGGTTCTGGGAGGTTACTCATGGAAGCATGCACATTAGCCCTTTGAACTACTTCCCTGGCCCCCATATTTCTTTCAACCTTTCTTGAAGGTTGTGGAATCTCTTGAACTTTGGTTCTGTCATCCTAACTTTCCCAGTCCCTCTTTAACCCTTTTTGCTTTCTCCTCTTTCCCCACTAGATTTAGTGGGTTGTTGACTTGCTTCTCTCGTTCTTATCCTACCTCTAGCATCTTTTCACCAAGGGGAGGGAAAGCTCTATTCCTCCTTAGATTGTATCTTTTTTTTTTTTTTTTTGCTTTTTGGGTCACACCCAGCGATGCACGGGGGTTACTCCTGGCTCATGCACTCAGGAATTACTCCTGGCGGTGCTCCGGGTACCATATGGGATGCTGGGAATGGAACCTGGGTTGGCCGCCTGCAAGGCAAACACCCTACCCGCTGTGCTATCACTCCAGCTCCCTAGATTGTATATCTTAGACACTGTTGTGGGATGAAAACACTAGAGAGGCAACACTACAAACACTACAGAGGGTAGGGTGCCTGCCGTGTAGTCAACCCAAGTTGGATCCCAGGCACTCACGAGGAGCCAGGTGTCAGCCCGGAGCACCGGCTGTGTCCCAAACATCCAACAAACACCAAACCAACCAACCAACCAAACAACGAAACAACAACAACAACACAATCAAACCACTAGAGCAGGACTGATATAAAAATTCTAGAAAACACTACTGAAATTACGGACCCAGCACTAGAAAAGCAAACCATTCCACTCTCTTCCCGAACGATTATTAGCGTCTATTTCTTCGGAGGTTCCAGGGAAGCGGGGGAGTTACAGCGCTAATCTGGGGGCAGAATCTGCTCCTTGCTCGAACAGAACAGCCCATTGTGAAAATCAGACAAAAGACAAGCGGTTCGTCAAAACAGACTGAAAATGAATGTTCTGAAGAAAAAGAACGGGGCGGAGGGGCATAGAGGAAAGAATAATAGGTCTGGATCTAGTTCAGCTGGGATTTAGGAGGGGAGACAGCGGCGGAGGGTTCCAACTGCAGCGAGGCGCGCCGGGCGCGTCCCCAGCTCGCAGCTCGGGCTTCCGCCGCAGCCTCAGGCTTTCCAGGCCTCCCCTTGGAGCCCAGGTTCTGCGCAGGCGCGCCGGCGGTTGCTATGGGGACAGCTGCTTCGGCGCAGGCGCAGACGGCTTTAAGATGGCGGCGGCAGCGGCGGCGCGAGCGGTTACCGTGGGCTCCGGGCTCCGGGGCCTGCCGCGGACGCTGCCCCTGGTCGTGGTTCTCGGGGCCACGGGCACCGGCAAATCCACGCTGGCGCTGCAGCTGGGGCAGCGGCTCGGCGGCGAGATCGTCAGCGCTGACTCCATGCAGGTAAGCCTGCGCGGCGGAGCCCGGCCTGGGAGCCGGGGAGGCCGCGCGCCGACCTTTGGCCGCGTGGAGACCCCTTGGCGTGGCGAAGCCCGAGGCTCGGGGGCCGGAGGCTGGGCGAAGGCGACCCGGGCCCGCTCGGCGCCCGCCGTCCGGCCGCGTGCCCCCCTCCGGGCCCCGCCTTCGAGGCGGACGCCGGTGCGGGGAGCTCCGTGGGCGCCGCGAGGGATTCGCGTCGCGGGGCGGCTTCTCCGTGTCGCCGAGCGAGGGAGCGAGGAGGATGGTAAGTGACCCCTGAAAGCGGTCAGATGAGGCGTCCCGCCAGTCTCTTGGCGGTGACAATTATCCCAGGGCTTCGCTTTTCGAGTGGCTGGGGGGCCGGAGACCTAGTCCAGCGGGTCGTCGGGTGCTTGCCTCGCACGGGGTGGACCCAGGTCCCATCCTCGGGTACCCCCGATTTGGAACCCCCCGCCCCGCCGGGAGTAATTCCTGAGTGCAGAGCCAGGAGTGACCCTTGAGAGTGTCCCTAGTGTGACACCCCCCTCCCCCCCAACCGCCTCCCAGGTGGAGTGGCTCAGCGGAACCGGAGAAAATCGGTCACAGCTGATGATGAGCGGCTGCCGCGAGAACGGAGCCAGGACGGAGCCTAGTCCCAAATTGGCCATCACCACGTGACCTGCACTCGGTCATTCATTCGGGCTCTTGGCAGGGCAGAAAATGCCACCTCCCTGGCAGGGGCTGCTCGAGGAGCCCGGGAGCTCCTAAGAGTTCCAGGGAAGAGCAGGGTGGCTGGCGTGACTGACGGAGAGGGCACAGGTGGCTTGCGGACGCGGAGGTTTTTTTTTTTTTCTTTTTCCCCATCCGGCCGATTTTCAGTCTGCGAGTTGGAGAGGATTGCACCTGAATATTTCAGTGGCGAGTTGGGGGCTTGTGCTCCATGGGGCGCTGAGCTTTTGTGCGGAGGAGGGTGGGGGGGGGGGATGAGGTGTGTAGGGAGGGAGGGAAGTGGTGACCTTTGGGATGAATCTCTGATGGAAGAATGTCAAGGCTCTTTGTTACAGAGGGTCTAGTTTTCGCTGAGCCAGGGAGATGCTTAATGCCTGCTTGTGAACCTCGCACCTGATGGATACTCTGCAGGGAGGGGCGGACCTCCGCTGCGCCCATAAACCTCTGGCCAAGATTTACGTTTCTCAGTCCATCAGCATCAGTCAAACACACAACATTTGTTTTGTTTACTTGCTTTTTGTTTTTGGCCACACCTGGCCATGCTCAGGACTTAACTTTTGCCTCTGCCCTCAAGGTTCATGCATGGCAGTGCTGGGGGGACTGGACAGGACAGGACAGGGATAGGGGACACCCTTTGTAGCAAGAGGTATCCAACTTGGTAAGTCACATGCAGGGCAAGTGCCTCATCCACTATACTGTCTTTTCAGCCCCACACAAACTTGGGTTGAAATCTCCTTTCTCTTGTCTTTTCTGAGAGGTTCTGCTACCAAGTAATCTCTTTGCCCCTTTGTTTCTTCTGTAAAATTGTAAGATACTTTCTAATACAGGTTTATTGAGTAAATGAGATGAAGGATGGAAGGCACTTATGTAACACATGACACATAAAGAGTAAGGGCCACGGGCACGGTAGGTGTTATCTTTTTGCAAGACCCTTTTGGAGGAACAAAACCTTGAATAATCCCTGACTCCAGTAGTGTCACCAGCTGCACGTGGACCAAAGAGTTAATAAGTGTTTGAACTGAGGTTAATAAGTGTTTGCCTGCAAGGTGGACAGGATGAGGAGGAGAGAAACAGTGATTGATAGGTTTTGTGAGAAGAGAGAACATAGTAGTTGGTATAGTTATGGAAGACTTTCTGTGTGAAGCCTCGAAAGATGTGAAGTTTTGATAGAGGGTATTATATGGAAAGAACATGAGCATTTTAAAGGTGTGGTGGACATGGTGTGTGAAGAGGATAGTGAAAGTTCAGCAGGGGATGAATCTCGAGCAGGGGAGGTGTAAGGGCGTTCGTTTGATGCATTCATGAATAGAATTTTGGGGTGGAGTCGGAAGGCATACCAGAAAATCTGAATATGGCATAGTAATAAGTCAGACTTAAGACTTCTGAGACTTGAGTGATACGGAGTGACACTGGTAATACCTCGGGTCCATTTTAGGCTTACCGTTCTTCGATGTTTATAATTCTGGGTGCCCCCACCCCCCCGCGAGCGGCTCTCCGGCACGGCCGTGGCTCTGAAAGCACAAGGACTTAATGCAGAGCCCGGCAGCTTGCGGCAGAAAAGTGAATGGACTATGCATTAATCCACGCCACCATGCCTGCCCAGGAGGGAAAGGGTGTTGCTCCTTTCCGCCTTTTTCCCTCTGGACAGCAAGATGGCGGCCGCCTTGGAGGTTTTTGGAAAGCCAGATATGAGCCGGTCGTGACGGGGCAACTGAACTTCATGGGAAGGGGGGCATTCCCGGCTTGTCCGTCACGCCCTACCGAGGTCATGAGTTGCTCCCCACGAGTGGCTCTCCCGCACGGCCATGGCTCCAGAGCCACAAAAACCAATCTTATAATTATCTGACTCTGGCAGAAATACTTCCAGGCTTAATAGGTAAAATATCAGAAATCCAAAATTGCGCGACCACTATTTAGGCCGTGCGACATCATTTGGTTCTTATAACCAACTGTAGAAAACAAATTATTTCGCAATGCCTTTTCAGCAGGTCTGATTTTGGGGTATAAACTCTAAATAATAATGGTGCATCTTTTTTTTTTTTGTAGGAGTACTGCTATTTATTCAGCCACTGATTAGCTGATTGAATTGTGCATGAACTCCATCTTACTTTTTTTTCTTTTTCCATTTTTTATAATTTTATTTATTGAATCACCGTGAGAGCAGTTACAAAGCTTTTGGGTCTAAGTCTCAGTCATACAATGAAACACCCGTACCTTCACCAGTGCTCATTTTCCACCACCAAAAATCCCAGTATACCCCCATCCCACACCCTCCCCCTGCCTGTGGGGCAGATGATTTCTACATTACTCTCTCTCTACTTTGATCACATTCACTATTTCGACACCAGACCCACCATTATTTAAGATTTTACCCCAACACTCAGATCTGCTGAAAAGGCAACAATAGACAATTTGTGTTCTATTGCTGGTTATGAATAACATATGATGTCGTGTGGCTGCAGTAGGGCCATGTGGTTTTGAAATTCTGAAATTTTAACACTTAAATCTGGAGGGATTTCTGCCAAAAGCCACTGGGTTTAGAGATCTGCTCCTGAGTCTCTGGGATCATGGCCGTTGAGCAGCTTGATGAGGAGCCAAAGAGGCCGTTCGTGGGCGATGACTTGGGGTCTCATTGGGGTGGGGAAGACAGGCCCGGCTCCACCTCCCCCCCATCCCGTGAGACCCAACAAGTTTCGTCACTGCGGGCCCAAGCCTGACTGTCCAATGGCCTCTGGAGGATGACAGCCACCAAGTCGCCAAGAGGGAGCAGGCGAAGGGACAGCACCCATTCCCCCCTGGGGTGGCCCGGCGACAGTAACCTACTGCGGGGTCCGGGCACATTTCTGACAAAAGCCGCTGAGTTTCGAGATTTGTTTCTGAGTCTCTGGGATCAAGGCCGTTGAGCAGCTTGATGAGGAGCTAGAGAGGCTGTTTGTGGGCGATGACTTGGGGTCTCGTTAGGGTGGGAGGACAGGCCCGGCTCCACCTCCCCCCCCCATCCCGTGAGACCCAACAAGTTTCATCACTGCGGACCCAAGCCTGACTGTCCAATGGCCTCTGGAGGATGACAGCCACCAAGTCGCCAAGAGGGAGCAGGCGGAGGGACAACACCCTTTCCTCCCTGGGGTGGCCCGGCGACAGTAACGTACTGTGGAGTCCGGGTGCATTTCTGCCAAACGCCACTGGGTTTTGAGATTTGTTTCTGAGTCTCTGGGATCATGGCCGTTAAGCAGCTTGATCAGGAGCCAGAGAGGCCGTTTGTGGGCGATGACTTGGGATCCCGTTGGGGTGGGGAGGACAAGCCCGGCTCCACCCTCATCCCGTGAGGCCCTGTGTGTCTCGTCACTGGGGGCCCAAATGTGACTATCCAGTGGCCTCAGACGGATGGCGGCCATTGGGCCGCCAGGGGGAACAGGCCAAGGCACGAAACCTATTCCCACCTGGGTTGGCCCAGCACCGGTAGCCTACTGCAGAGACCAGACGCATTTCCACCTAAAGCCACTGGGTTCTTAGATTCGTTTCTGAGTCTCTGGGATCATGTCCATTAAGCAGTTCAATCAGGAACCAAAGAGGCCTTGCCTCCAATTATATAGCTGAGCCGGAGGTGGTTTGTGGGTGTGTTTCCCACATACCTAACTTTTGGCCGTTTACTTTCTTGGTAAACTTTGCCCCAAGTTTTTGGGGTCTGGCCAAAGGCACAGCAGCAATTTTGGGGTATCTGGAAGCCTGAAGGTGCCATGAGGCTGCTGATGCACTCGCCTCACAGGTACAGATTGACCTGCTGGCGGCACCATACCCCCAATGGTGCATCTTTTGTCGAAACAATGAATCTAATCAAAGTAGATAGTGTTAACTAGAATTCATCTGCCTCACAGGCATTGGAAGGGCTGGAAGGGGGATATATTGGGGTTCTTGGTGGTGAAAAATAAGTACTGGTGAAGGAAAATGTATTTGATGATTGCATGACCAAGATTTAAACCTCAAAGCTTTGTAACTTTTCCCACAGTGATTCAATAAATAAATAATAAATATCATAATGCCAAAAAAAATAATTCTGGGTGGGTATGGGTGGTTGGTTGGTAGGAGTGGAAGGGAAGAGAAAACTGTAACATATTGAGAGCAGAGGCTCTTAGTGTGAGTTGGTCACTGGGGAAAAGACAGAATACAGTCCATGTGACTGGGGATTTTGGGTTGTGTGCCTGGGAATTGGGACTCTGGGAATGGCAGTAGCATATTACCGGGAGAGTCCAGTAGATGTGTGGTGAATGCAGCAAAAG